GTCTTTATATGAATATGGTCGCAATTTTTTCGCCGTGATATACAAATCCGCATTATATGAACCCGTGTTATAGAGGGGTCTACTGTATTTATTTAAATGCAGTGCTTTTGAATTTTAATAGGTTCACCATTATTAATTAATGTTGAAACTTTCTTGAAAGAATCAGGTTTTATACATCAACAATCTGAATCTAATAATTACATTAAAAAACACTTCAAACACTCTGTCCACAGACAGCTTCAGAATACAAATGTTTGTATGTTGTAGAAGCTATCTGCTGAAAGTAGTGTTTGAGGTGTCTTTAGGTAATTATTATTTACAGTTCCAGTTTCTATGAAGTTGCTTATAGTTTTAAGGACAAACAACAGAGCTTATATTTTTTCTCTCTATTGAAACAATACTTTTTAGAATCTTTTTAGAAACAGAAAAAAAATTAATAATTTAACTTTAAAATAAATTGAAAATTATATGTATTCATTTAATTTAAATTAATAAATAAGTTGCATGTATAATCATTTATAAAATGTATTTTAGTGCATAAGTAGCACTAAAAATACATTTTATGGTAGAGGAAATCAAATAGAATTCGCAATATACAACAGTGGTGGTGCTGACCAGTAAGAAGAACACATGCATATATGATAATCCGAATATTTGAAAAAAATCTCTCTTATGGAGAAANTAATTTAACTTTAAAATAAATTGAAAGTAGTGTGTATATTAAATAAACAAATAAAACATAGGAAACAAAGCTAACTAGAAATAAACATGATTTAAAGGATTTTAAGTTCCATTCCCTTTTCTATTATATATTTCCATGCTGTTGGAGGCGCATTAGAATCCTCGGCGTTTAAGTGACGGTTTTTCATTTCCTTTTCTTATAAAAACTCGAGAATGGTCTATAAAAGAGCCAATATCTATAGCTTGCTACGGAACAATAAAGACAGTGTAAAAAAGGAAGAGAAGGCTGGAGTATATAGAATACCATTTGAAAATCAACAGTTAGGAATCAAAAAAGATTACGTGGTTGTGACTAGAAGAAACCTGGCAGTATGCTGCGAGAATATAGATACAATGTTAACAAAGGACACAACAACACAATATTATGGCATAGACTGAGGGAATGGTCGTAAAATGGGAAGAGGCAAAAGTCAATAAAACAGTGCACTCTCCATCTATTGCATTGGAGATGGAAAAGGTGGAAATTTATAAAAGTAAAATGGAAAACTGTTGCCTAAATGCTAGGGATGCTAATGTGCTTCCAACAGCATGGAAATACATAATAGAAACAAAAAGGGGCTTAAAAATCTTTAAATCATGTTTCTTTCTAGTTAGCTTTGTTTTATTTGTTTTTTTATTTTATTTATTTAATCTACATACTTCTTTCAATTTATTTTAAAGCAGGACTGTGGAGCCACATCCCTGTATGTAAAAATCTACCGATTCAAACTTTGCCTCACCATCTGACTCCAACTCCAACCCTGACCAGGTGCAGACTGTTACCAAAATAGACTTAGAAATTCTGATGTCATCAAATAAAAGATTCAATAAATAGAGTTCTAATAAAGATAGAACATAGAAACTTTTTTTATTCCAAAGCTAAAAGACTCCTCTAAGTAATGATATAGTCAATATATAAATATGTATTTGATAATTTTTACTTTATTGGCTGTTATATAGTGGAAAGTGTAGTGATCGATCAAAAAATGACCCCTCCCAAATTTTTACATTTTTTGACTCAGGTTACCTTTAGTATTATATATATATAGACGAGTTTTATAAAAAAAAAATTGTGAACGCTAATAACAAGTAAAATAGTCATTAAGTCCTCCATTACACTGGATATATGACACGAGTCCTTCTACATCTCCATCCTATCTACCTTTGATTAAGAACCAAAATTTAATAATATTAACGCCCCTTTATACACAAGCTATCATGCCAAATTTAGTTTCTTAAACTTTACCCATTCTGAGATATTGTTTAATATCTTAGAACAGAGAATAAAAAAATTAAACAAATTAGATGCATATGTGTGTTAACACATATGCATGAATTTTCCCCCTTTAAGGCTGGTATACACGGTAAGGAAATCCTTTGAGGATTAACCGTGATTTTTTTTTCTATCTATCCATTTTTAAATAAAAATAATTCTTTATACGTTGGGAGATATTTTAATAAGCTTTGTAAATTACTACGTTCAATCCAGCTGAGTTTTTCAATATCCGAGTTTTTTTCGTCTGTTAAGCACATCCTTTGAGGATTTCCTTACCGTGTATACCAGCTTTAAAACTCCAAAACTCGACTCCACAGTCATGTTTTAAAGTTAAATTATTTTTTTGAATTTTAAATATGTGAAATATTTGAAAATGATATGTTTCATTTTAGAACATTTATAATATTAAACCTGACATTGGCCTATAATAAATAGGTTGAAAACATTTGTAAAAATAAAATAATTTTAAGCTCAGCAAAATTAGATGTTGGTGAAACTGAAGTGATAACTTGTTTTACTTCCCACTTTTTTGCAGTAATTTATCTTTTGGGAATGTGTGCATATGTACAGTCACCCCCCTATAAGATAGAGATACGTTCCATTCTCTAGGAATCCGCTTTCTTACGAATCCTTCCAATCACAACCCGACACGTATCAAGTTTACGGACTACGGCTGTTTGAAAGATTTTCTTCCATAAAATTAATCGATTCTAGACTAATCCGACTCAACATTTCCAAAATACGTATATATTTTTTGGGAATAATCCGTATAAACTACGCTATAAACAAAAAATTGTAGGATTACTTACCGAGTGTCACCATTCGACATTGCCATTGCTCAACATTGTTTTCGTCGCGGAACAGCTCAGCAAACCACGGCCGATTTCTAACAACTTATTTTTCTGTGAAAACTTCGTAGAACTTCGGAGACATCATTAATATAAATAATTTTAATCGCCGTTGAATAAGAAATGTATAAAATTACAGTACTGTATTAGACTTACGGTACCTAATTTACATACTGACAGACGATAGTTAGCGTAAAAATCTCCGTAGCGTGGCGCCACGCTAGACGGCGGAAATTATATATTTAATTATAACAAAGTTACAATAAGTTAATATATAATTATATATACAGTACCTAATTTATATATAATTAATATATAATTATATGTACAGTACCTAATTTATATATAATTTATATAATACTGTCCAGACGATAGAAATCTCTCCGTAGCGTGGCGCTACGGACGGCGGGAAAGTAGTTCGGCTTCCCGATGACGTTTGAGGTGTTTATAGGGAACTTTTACTATTTTTTACGGATACCGGTAGCAATTTTTTCGTAGTTTTATAGGAATCGTAACTATAGGGACCGTAATTATAGGGGGGTCGACTGTACTACATATGTATGAGTTTGATGAATCTTTAGACTTACATTCAAATACCTAGCAATACTTATTATTTATCATTGTAGGTTGAACACTTTCTAATTTTAACACACCACAGACTATACTCATAGCACTGCCATTATGTATTTTGTGCTAATACTGCTAGGTGTCAGATCTATCGTTAGCACAAGCAAATAACTTCTGTAGTATTTGGAGTCAGATGGTTTAACACAGGAGTTAGGTTTCAAAGCTTGAACTAAATTGTGACCCCACAAACATCTAGAATTGGAGGATTTTTGATGACTCAGACTCCATAGCCTTGATTAGAGGTATGTGGATATTTTGGTGGACCACCTGCAATCTTTTCTCACCATAGTGTTCCTAAATGATTCAGAACTGGATGGAGGAGCATTCAAGTGAATTTCAAACCATTTCCTGGACTCCTCAATCCCCAGATTTTAATCTTGTGGAATGAAGTGGATGATATGTTGGGCTAAGAATACTCCACTATATAATACTGCTGAATCAGTTTTTCAATATTGACTGCAGACATCTGTAACCAATATTGCTACTGTAATTCTTGTGACTTTAGAAGCACTATAGGAATCTGCAACCATGTTTGCAAATTCCTATAGTGCTTCTAAAGATAAGCCTTTAGTGTGTTTCCACAACTTGTCAAATCCACGCCAATGCAAATTGAATCTATTATTCAAGCTCATGGTGGAGCCACTAGATATTAAACAATGTAAATTTTTCATTTTTGAGTGTATATTACATAAGTGGAATTAAAAAATGTTATATTGGATTCTTCTTAAATCTACACTGACCTATCAACTTTGCATTCCTAATGTCATATTTGTTTCCATATAATATTGGCATGCATTTATCGATTTTATCTCACAAGCTTCAACTTTGTTGGATACCAATTTCTCCAAATCACACCAACCAAAAGTTATCGCATAATAGTTTATGTGACCTAATAATTATGTAGCACAAAGTATTTATACCAAAAGCATGGAAGAGTTCTTCCTTGGCAAAAACAAAGGAGTTGATTGGAAGAAGAAATAGTGGAATGATCAAATTGGATAGGCTTTATTTGGTTCAGATGGTGGAAGAAAAATGCTGGAAGCTACAACAATACATTTAATCTCCAATATTTATCACGTATGACTATCAGATTATTCATCTATTCCAATTTTTATATATTCCAGTCCTTTCACTCGAAAACCAATTTAAAATTTAAGGCCTTCAATATCAATTAATACAAAGTAACCTAAACCAATTCCAAGCGTAAAAGACACAAGCAACATGCAATATGTGCTTTTTCTTCGTAAAAAATTTGGTAGTAATTATGGTATAATAAAAACTAAAACCACCACAACACAACGAAAAAACCCTTAACAATTAAACTGGATTAAAAAATACGTAATATGTTTTCAAATTATATTTATTTTAAATGATTTTAACTAAAGCAACGATATAAGCCTAACTGCTTTTATAATCTAGATTCATCGATGTCACTGAACAATTTAGAGTAATGATAAGCTTACTGTTTTATAAAACGAATAATAAGATGCCAAATTTTACAAATATTTTTATTTTTAAAATTAACATACCATGACTAAATCCTTGTAAAATGCCCAGGTAGCTTCGGTTTAGGGGCGACTAAAATGACAACGTGATCTCTATCACACGAGAACTAAGAATAACAAAGTGTTGCCAACCATTTTATTTCAATTATCGCTCGCTGCATTCTAATGTCGCTTATGTCGATTTCCGAAACTGTATTTCGTAAAATCATAGAGGATTATTAGTTTCCTTTATTATTTTTAAAAAGCTTCCTGACTATACATTAAAACTTTTGAAAATTTGACCAGATTCATTATGGTCCTCAAAGTGAGACGGCCGGATGGCCTAGTGGTCAAGATGGCAGCCTACCGCTCTGGGGACCGGGATAGAATCCGTACGGGTCGAAAAATCTTCAAGAATTTTTCGGGTGGTGGTCCGTCCAAATATGTCGGGCCCCGTCCCTCACCGTTCGGCCGCCCCATTGTAGGCCTAGCCGAACCCATAATGGGCTTGTTAAAAGAAGCCTTCTTAGTGCCCACAGGGCGGAAAGAGTTTTGAAAACGCCAAACAATTCCATTGCTTTCCTTTCTTTTCAGATCCATTATGGACCAAAGAAAGTTTTTAGAACCAGCAGCCCTTCGAATGCCATGTTAAATGTTCATTTATTCTTTACATTAGTGTTTTACATTTATTTTATATTAAATTCTTATTGTTTTGAGTATTAAACACTATATTTATTCTCTAAAAAATGTGTTTTTGGCATGTATTTCGGAGTGTCTAGAATTAATTAATTGGTTACATTAATTCATATGGAAATAATTGCCTCGGTTTTCGTCGGTTTCGGATCGCCGATTGTTTTCTGACGGATTATCGACGAAAATTGAGGTGTCACTGTATTGAGTACTGCTTGATGCAACCTGACAGTTTCGAAGAGATTCTCCAACTATTTATTTAAAAGAACAAATTGGAATTCTTAGAAACTGAATTATTTTACCATTCATGTTGATGGCTGCAGCACCGGTTGAAGCAAGTATTTGGATGTTATCTTTCCTTATGGTTTTGCCTACCGATTTTACTATGGCCTTAATTAGTGTGCCTTTTCCCATGCAGACTTTCCCTGAATAAGTACTCGCTTAATTTCAGATCTATTCAGAAGCTGATCTTTGCAAAGATTATATATTGTTTCTTACTCTTGATTTAATCTTATAGTGTTGCCGGAATCTTCTAGTGATTCTTCTTGAGCTGCGATAATTTCCTTACAATTATTCGCAAATTTCAACATTTCGTTTGCACGATGTTTTTCGACTGTATTCCAATTAAATGCCTCGTGGAAAGCACGCTCTCCTAATCCATCTCGGCGGTCTAAATTTACCAGTGCCAATCTCAAAGCTTTCATTTCACGAAATCTTTCTTGTTATATAAATTCATATCACATTCAACGTCTTCAAAAACATTATCGTCAGGAAAAATTGGTACATCAATCTTTTCTTTAACATGACATATAAAGACTTCTTTCTAACTCATGTATTCAGGTTTGCAATTACAGCAAAACCCCGCTTAACGCGAGGAATGCGTTCCTAGAGGACAAAGAGCTAAACGAAACAGCGTTAAACGAGGTCATTTTAACATAGAGTAAATAGGAAAAGGGAAACACGCGACCAAAAATAAACAGATGTTACTTTAATTTTAAGTTATTTTTATATTAATTTGCATAATAATATATGTTAAATAACATAAACATATGCACACAGAAGTGTAAAGTTCATTATTTGTGATGAATATCTTGGTTCTTCTTAAATTCTTGTATTTTGCGATAAAGTCGTGTAGTTTCATTTGTCGTTTTTTTT